GGATCGATCATCGTCGATTCGCGCAGCGGTCGCGGTCCGATGCCGCTGCCGGCGGCGATGAACTGCGTGGGTGGCGCGACTGCCATGGGCGCGGCCCGAGCTGCGTCCTTGTCGCTCTCGGCCGCGGCGCCAGCGTCGGTGGAGCCCACCTTGCGCTTCCACAGGTCCCACTTCTGGTCGTCCTCCTCGTCGAGCTTGTACTTGTGCTTGCCGGCGCGCCGGGCCTTGGCGTCCTTGGGCGACCACAGCGAGCGGTGCGAGGGCGCGTTGGGCGCGAGCAGTCCCGATAGACGCACCTCGGTATCCGCGTCCTCCTTGGACATGTTGCTGATGCGCGTGCGCGACGATGACCTCTGGTGGCGGGAACCGACCGCCGACTGGCCCGCACCTGCGCCGGCTGCGTCGCCAGCTTGGCCGCTTGGAGTAGCTCCCGCGCTGGCGAGCTGCACGCTCATGCGACGGGACGAGCTGCGGAGCGATCCGACGACAAATGAGCCGGGCTCCACTTCGTCTCGGGCCGTCGAGGACGGCGGCACGACCACACGCCCGTCCATGCGTAGCGAGGCCGGGTCGAAGCTCCCATCGTCCGCGCGCGCTCTGGCCATCGACGAGGCGAGCGTGTGCATGGCACTCTGGCTGGCAGCAAGCGCGCTGAACGAAGCGGCGCCAAAGCCGGGAGGCACCGCGTCGTCGTCGTCGGAAGAAGAAGCGCTGCGGAAGTCGTCCGACAGAGACCCCGAGCCTGGTCCGCGCCGCGCCGAGGCGCCGGTAGGCTCGTCGTCGAGTCCGGGAATCGCATCGTCTCCCTGACCCCTCGGCCGACCAGACGCGCCGGTGCGTAATCCAGACTGGGACATCTCCACCTTGAGGCGGTCGCTCTCTTGGCGTGCCTCGGGCGACCCCTCGGCAACGTCGGCCTCCTCGGCATCGGCTTCCTCGGTCTCTTCGTCGATCTCGAAAACTGCGTCAGCCGCCTCGTCAACGAGGGGAGGATTGGGTCTCTTGCCTGCATTGGCCGACTTGAGGCCTGGCGTTGGACCTCGAATGTCGTCATCGTCGCCATCCTCGTCGTACTCGTCCGAGGCCACGAGGTGGTCTACGCGGTCCTCGGTCTCGGCGAAGGCGACCTTCTTCTCGAATGCCTTGCGCGACCTGGGGCTGTCGGATCCACGGTTGGCAGCGGGAGTGGAGGCGGTAGAGGAAGGCGGGTCGGAACCACGTGCGCTGGCGCTTGACCTAGCCGCCTCGCCGCTCGAGATGGTGCGCGTGGCGGGCTTGAGCGGCTCAGCCGTCGAAGGGGGCGGGTCGCGCGGTCGAAGCGTCACCTGCGCCGACGGTTCGGCGACCGACTGGGGCGAGATAAGCTTGCCGCCGACCGACGGCGTGTCCTCGTCGGCATCGCGTCCATCGTCCACATACGCAAGCGCCGGCCGCTTTGTAAGCAGAGACGAAGACATGAGCGGAGGCGGATTGAATGCCGGAGCTGAGCCGCGTCCTGCCCGACCACGGCCTGCATCCTCGCGAGAGTCAGACGGCTGCGTCGGAGCGGCCTTTTCTGCAGGCGGAGCAGACAGCTGTGAGGCCGGCTGGCTTTGACGTTCGCGAGGCTCTCGCGACGACGAGCCCGCCCTCTGGCGGGAGGGCTGGCGTGCGCGGCCCCTGCGGTCCATCTCGGCATCGACGTCGCTGTCGTTGCGGCTGCTCTCTCGCGTCCTGGTGGCGTCGTGCGGGCGGCGCACACCACGCTGAGTGTGCCACGCATCGTCCTCCGAGTCGGCGATCGAGTTGGCCGCCGAGGTGGCGTTGGAGTTGGCAGCCGACGGGAGCGCCGAGTGGTCCCCCTGTGGATAGCGCTCGCGCAGACGGCGCTTTTCGGACCAGTCCTGCATCTGGGCGGGCAGATCACGACCGCGCATGGCGAACGATGCGCTGAGGCCACCGAGAGAGGATGCGACGGCGCCGGGCGCACCGCTGTTGGAGAACGAGGCGCTGACTTGGCCTGGCGTGGTGTAGGCGGGACGCCTCTCGAATGCAGAGGGCGGCAGATCCGAGTACTCGTCGTGGATGCTGTCGCGGCGTGAGTCGCCCGCTGCGGTGCGAGCCTCCCGCGGAGTCGCCGAGGCTGTCGACCTGGCGCTGATGGCGACGCCAGTCGGGGTGCTAGAGCGAATTGCGGCGTTTCGGTCTCGGCTTTCAATGCTGTTGGGAGTTGTCCAAGGGACGGTTGCTGCTGAGGTCTGCTGCTGCTGCTGTTGTTGTTGTTG